ATGTTCGATGCGAACTGAAAACCTGCAGTAAAAGAAACATGTCGCGAATACTAAGATATTTATATTATTTTACCTATATAATTAAAAGAATAACGTGCGTGCATGTGTGGGAAGATTGTCAAATTTTATTACACTATGCAAAAATGAAATTAGGAGTATGGAAGTACGGACAACGTTAATATGTGCGTAAGGGAGGGGTGGGTGTGGATAGCATTGCAAAGGATAAGGTATTTGTAGAATGGATCTGTCATCCCTCAGAGCCCCATCTTACATAGCAGTGGTCATGGGTTTAGAATTTGTGTGAATTTCTTCATTTGTTTATAGATATTTAGAGTACTGGCACTGTTGAGTTTTAATACTTGCCCTGATACCCAGGTTTGGAAATTGTCACTAGATCTGGTGTCTCTTACTAAGTCGATTGGTTTGTAATTTTTGATCACACCATTTGGATCAAGGTGTCTTTCCTACCAGAGGTGTTTGGTGAGTTTCACATATTATGGAATAGATTTAACCCGCTTATGTTTAACCTCATCATCACTGAGATATCCTGCATGACCATTTGATTCGTTCAGAGCTTTACGTACCTAACTTCATGCGTGAGTAACTAGGCAGATCACTTAACTGTTTTAATTACTTTAAATACAAAGAATTTCACTTACATTTTATAAACTTTGTACATTCAAATACAAAATACCACAACCAAAAAAAAACGTTTCGTACACGAAGCGCAGGTTTTTCCCCTAGCTTACTATTAATGCTTATTAAAGTTTACGTAAATTTCACTCCTGTTTGTTAGAGTACCCATTTTGTTCTACAATTATATTCAGGGAACTTAGATTAAAAACTGCCCTGCCATTATTATTTTGTTTCTATGTGTAACTTTACGTAAATACCAGTAGAACTTTGTGTATGGGTGAAATTCGAGTAAAATTAAACTTCAAAATTGGCAATATTTCTCTTTTCGTAAAAGTGCTATATCGACCTGAAAACGCATATTGCCATCTGTCGAGAGCTTTGTTTACTAGCCTTAAATCTTACCAACATTCCACTAAAAAGCTGTGAGCAAAATATTCGTTCCCCTGAATCATCGCTTACCAGAAACAATACAACAATCTCAAATATTGTACCAAATCACGTTCTTTAAAGATATACGAACCCAAACCAGTACTGTAGATCAATTTGTAATTTGAGCCAACCATTAGTCGTACACTGATCAATCACGTTTTCTTCTATTGATAGATTCGGTATAGAACTCCCTTCTGGTCCTCTATTCTATAAGTATCTTTCCCCTTTGTTTTGTTCTCGACTTTCTTCTGAGCATTGTCCCAAAGTCTCTGCAGTGAAGGGTATTTTTTCTATGTTTCCTTCAGTTCCTGCAAACCTAACTTCGGGATGTCGCCTTTGACACTTGCAGGGGCTTGATGTCTTATTTGCTCATCTTTTCTTGAGCTCTAGTGGTGACAGCAGATGCTTCATCAATCTTCTTTCTGTCTAGTTCCTCCAAAATTCTACTACCTGGTATGTTTCCTATCACCAAGTCGTGTATTGGTTCCTTGATACACATGGCCTCAAGGTCCTATCAATTAGCACACACAGTCGTACCTTGCCTGTCATCTGATCATCGAATACCATTATGGTTCTCACTGTTGCACTACTGTACCTAGTGTCTAGCAAAACCTACACTTTCTTGTTCTCAACATAGCCTTTACATATTGGCATATTATTATTTGTTGGCACCTCTTGATATTTGTCACATGCTTCCATCACTATTGACACTGTTGATCCATTTGTAATTTGAGCCAACCATTAGTTGTGCACTGATCAATCACGTTTTCTTGTATTGAATTTGACAAGTAGTCTTGATTCTCTTTCTTCTGGCAGCAGCATCCATAATGCCAGTCACTATTTTCTTGCTTCTTACCAGCACTGTCTTTGTAAACGGCTCCAGCTGCTTTATGTTGAGGTTTTTACTGTTGTTTGCTGGTAATGGACTTGCACTTTTTTGCAGTGTGCTCCATTTTATAACAAACATGACATATCTTTTCCGTTCTGTCTATTAACCTCCTGTCACCTTTGGTAAACTCCTGCTTTTGGTCAGCCATTACTGGTTTCACATTTATCTGAGCATTCTTGGACTTGCCAGTTATACTACCTCTATGGGCTTCCATATACTATTCTGCCAGCTTGATCATCTTGTCTACATCTTTTGGTGCTCTCTCCTTTAAAAACAGTGACACGTCAGTTGAACACGTGGTTATGAACTGTTCACATACTAATAGGTCTGCCAGTCCCTCAAAAGTAGTTTCACCCATAGCCATGTCAGTCCATCTGGTGAAATATCGCCGCCGACGTGCTACAAACTGAAATACAGTTTCTCCAGTGTCGGGTTTGACTCCTCTGAACTTCCAACAAAATCTTCTTCGGTAAATTCATATTGTTTCAGTAAAGCTACTTTTAATTTTTCATAATCCATGGCATCCTTTGACATCATGCCTGCATATGCTTGTAGGCCTTTTTATGTGAGAAGTGTTCTGAGACAGACTGCCCAATTGCCTTTGTCCCAGATCTGACTTTGGGCGAATTCTTCATATCTCTCCAGGAAAGCATCCATGCCATCTTTATGTTCATCAAATTTGGGCAGCTTGGGTCGGCTAGCCCTGACTCCATTATCATTCTTGGGTCCTTCTTCTTTCGGTTGGGTGAGTTTTGCTATCTCAATTTGTGTTCTTATTTTTTCTCTTTTTAGTTTCTCCTATCTCTCTTTTTCTTCTTTCTCAATTTGTATTCTCATTCTTTCTATTTCTTGTTTCTCATTTCTCTCATTTTCTTCTTTCTCAATTTGTATTCTCATTCTTTCTATTTCTAGTTTCTCCTTTCTCTCATTTTCTTCTTTCTCAATTTGTCTCTTCTGCTGCCGTTCTTCTCTTTCCAGTTCTTGTTTAACAAACTCTCCTAATTCACTGTATTTTAACCCAAGTTGAGATCCTCTTTCTGCCCATTTATCAAAATTTGTTGACATGGTTATATAGCGTAATATCTATACTATTTTCGTTATTACTACATTTATGTTTATAAACATAGGCCTATTTATTTCGGCTGTCATTCACGTTTTCTTCTATCTCCGTTTATCACTGTATAATCCTGGCTGTGGGCGTCTTGCCAACTGTCAAATTTAAAAATAATAATATTATATATGTGTATGAGTTGTATTTTTTTTCTTTTTTTGCCAATAGTCGAAATAAATGGCTTTTACTTATATTTCTTAATAGTATAAATATAAAGTATGTAGTTGTTGGGCTTAGGATTCTTCTATAGTAGGTGCCTGTAACTTGTTAAAGATAACTTCAACGATGAATAAAATAGCACACACTTTACTTGTTTTTAAATAATATATATATATCTTCGAAACAAGTTAAACATATGTACGATAAAATATTCATACTATAGAGAATATAAGCATATCGTAAACGTTATATCAGTATGTGTATAGTTATCCTCTTCTTGTCAAAAGTCCACTGTTCAATTACTTTAGAATCTCAGTTGACAATTCGAACTATTTTCGCTAATACTATCGCAATATTTGTCGGGTGTGATTCACCGACGATTGTGCTCTTCTTTCTTCTGAAGATTCTATGTTCCTTTTGTCAAAGTACAACTCAGACTGATTCAATTACTTTAGAATTTCGCTTTGACGGAATAAACTTATTTTTTCTTATTTCTTTTCCATTATTAGTTTCACTCTAATATATAAATCAAACGTTAGGCCTATCATTTTTACGTTACTTAACTTCACACCAATTATACTCTCTTTGCTTTTACCTGTCTAATACTTTCGGTCTGCTGCTTCCTGCTCTTTATTACATAGTCGCCTGGCCGATTTCTATATTCTCGACACCAATTAGTTATTAACAAAACCTTCTACAATCGTCTGCTTTCAACTCTTATTATAACAAAACTTAAAAATAATAAATATTCACTCACAAATATAAATGAATCACTAATATTTAAACCAAACAGTCTTTTATATCATGACAGAGTCAAAATTTGATAGAGAGTGTTGAGGGCGAGTAACAAACTATGCACATAGTAACTCCAGTTTTTATTTATAGTAACAAACATATGTTCATGTATAGGTATAAATAAGAAAAAACTAATTTAAAACCTTCGTGAATCTACAAGATTTAACAGGTAGTGTGAATATTGGAAGTTCTGAAACTTATCTATATGTTTATATTTCTGTAACTAAAAGAACCTGCGAAGATTTTATGTCTGATTTTTATTATTCTGTTTACTCTTTTTTGTCATTTAATTCTAGATGCAATGAGCAAACCAAATAGTTTATAAATCAAGAAATTTGGGGAGAACCAGGTGATGTAAGTAAGATCGTTATAGTATTTAATAAATCTGTTTGCTCTTTAATCCTTGACCTCAAGATTTCTTCTGGGTGACTTTTTGGTTAATATATAACCCTTTGTGACCAACTAATCCTTTGACCCCAGATAACCTTTTGTAACCAGTAATTCTGTTATCCAAAGAGGTTGTTTAATTTAAAAAAAAATTATTGATAAATATTTGATTGCTATCTTTTAATTAATACATCCTTTAATCAAACTTGCTATTGTCATTTAACTACCACATATCTTCATGAATAACGTTTAATAATCATGGTTGGTAACTTACCCTGAATAATTTTAGTGCATACACAACATAAAGCTCGTTTTTCTCTGGTAAATTGGAAGAAATGTTTTATATTGGCAAGTTTTAAATCTTTATTTATCATATCAACATAAATTATTCTGGTATGTTTTGAAATTGAATTTTTAATTATCTCTTTTGCTTTTCAATCTAGCTCTCATATAAGACCTGGTATTCGAAAGTGTTCGAGTTACCAAGACTTTTTTAACTCTATCGTTAATTGATACATATTTGTGTTCATCTCCGCTTACGAAGTTTCACGAAGTTATTTTTTTTACTAAAAATGTATGTAACTGTGGCGCCACTGTGATTCACTTCCACGAGACGTAAATATTTAACATATAAATTATAAAGCATAAATAAGGTAATATTCTACGCAAGAGAAAGAATGGCTACTCCAGCACCGGCTGAAAAAAATTCAAAAGCCGCCAAAAATAATGACCAAAAATCACAGGTAAATATTAATCATTTAAACTTAATGATGATTTATTACGTTAGTTGTTGTAACGCTTGTATTACTGTTAGTAACAGCTTGTGCTAGTGTTAGGCCTACTTGTTGAGTAAGCTGTTGCAAATGCAATGTTACTAACTTCTGTTGACACATCTTTAACAGTTTAAATTTAAACCGTAAACTATCACAAACACAACATAAAATTTAAGGACAACGAAGGACCTGTTGATCCATATAGGCCGTCCCATATACATATTATAATTCAAATTATGATCATCTACATACATTACCTTGCTTTCATTTATATCAAGCCTCACTAAAAATTTTCTATCCAATGAACCTACTTATCCCCCATACCTATAGATATTCTTTTTTAACATGATCAGTAACAAGCCTTTTATTATGAAGACACAAAACTAAAAAGGAAGTTAAAGAACTTGCCTGTAGATTTACACTTTTTTATTGAGTTTCTAGTGAACTTAAACTGTAAACTACCTTAAAATATTCATAAAAATTAGCTTGCACATACATGTATATGTAACTAATGTCTATTATGGTAAAGGGGTAGATTTTTTTATAATCTACCTGTGCATATTCCACAGATTTTTTGAATATTAAGAGCAATGTAAAATCTTTTAACTTCAAGAATTTTTTTCCAGGATTAAAATGGCTTGTGGTTTTTCAGTTTAAGGATGGAACATCACTGGAATACACAAATATTTATCAAATAATAAAGTAAATAAAATTAATGTTTTCAGTTATTAATTATTACAGTTTTTGGATTAATCCAACTATCCAATTAATCAGAATATTGTCATTATAACTTATTGTTATTGATTAATTCAAACTTGTTCAGCTTTAGGCAAGAATGGCCCATCAGTTAATGGTATTGCCAAATGATTCAAAGGTTTTGGGTTCAATTTTCAATACCACCAAATATGCTTGCCTTTTCAGTCATGAAGTTCTTATGTTTGTTTCTTTGTTTGACAGTTATGAAAGCTACCTGCCACCATCTCTGATTTTAAACTGTCAACCAGAGAAAGCAACCAGTTGGCAGTACCCAATGCCAACTCTTGGACTTTAATGTTAAATGAAATGTAAATTTATTTATTTTTTTACATGGTGTTGTGTTTCTATGTAACTGTATTATTCAGTGTTAAATAAACTCAAAATTTACTCCGTCTACATTGTGTATTAAGGTGATCTTTATTTGCAGATAAAATTTCAGATTAACTATTCTAAATCTCTCACCCCCTAATTTTGTTCCAATGTACAAAAAATAACATTAAATGTGAACTTCATCCATTTTCATTCATATATTCAGAGGCTGTTAAACGATATTGAAACTCTAAACTGTGGTGATTTTGTACTGTATGTTCTATGTGATACAAAACATATTTGTTAATTATTATGAATGATTCACTTAATGTATTAGTATTTTTTTTTTTCATACACAATAGCCTAATCACACAAGTATATGATTTTGGTGTGGTTAGTCACTTTTGCATTGTTTTTGTTTCCTTTTTTGCTGTTAGGAAAGCATTTTCTGTAATCCTGCACAACTTGAAAGAGAAATTGTTTTTGTTCTTTCTTTGTTATGATTGCATTATACTCCTCGGTCAGAGCCACACCCATTTCAGCATTGTCATATACTCCATTCAAGTGTTCAACTGTCTGTAGAACCTTCCAGTAGTCCTGAGCTCCCATGACTTGGGATCATAATCCAGATAGAATTTTGAGGCACCTAGAGAACTCTTTTTATATTGTTCATGATAAAATTTCAATTGACATGTCCTCAGTCTTCTTGATATTCAGGAAAAGTTTTTATTGATGGTGGAACATATTACATGTCTTGACAGAACATTGGTTTATCTTCATCAGGTATGATCAGAACTAAGCAATCCAAGGTTTATATATTGTTACAAAGGCAATAGAGATTAAATGTAACAGAAATGGTGTCAGCAGGTGACAGGATATAGGTAGAGGTCAAGTCTGGTCAAGTATATGAAGGTGAATAGACATTGCCAAATATGGCTGGTGTTGCTGGGGCCATTATCACAGTTTAGTGAGAGGTCATTTGTTTTGATTATTCTGTCAAAACATGTAATATGTTCCACCATCAGTAAGACTTTTCCTTATGTTTATAAATTGTTGTTTGCCTATCTATTAATACATTTGCAGTGATATGCCAATACAGTGTCAACTGATATAACACAGAAAAATATGCTTAAGTGTTTATATACCATCAAAGGAATTCTAGAACCTGCTGTTACATCATACAGAATTTTCCAGAAGTAAAAAGTAACAGTGTGTATGATTTATCTATGGAATATACTCAAACATTCTAAATACTGTGAAATATTCCAAAATATGCTACATCATTCCAGGATGTGCTAACATATTTCATAATAATATACCAGAACATTCCAGAATTATTTAGAATATTCAGAATATGCAGATATAATGAGAGCTACAAGGTAAAGTATCAACTATCTTGAGCAACCCCTAAATGTTATTCAGTATGGATTCAATTTGGTGTGAGTTACTTATTTATATATATTGTAATAAAATGTTGTAAATGAAAACTTCAAATAGAAGAACTACCCTATTGTGTATGTATTATGTTTATAACACCACAGCTCTTACTTGCCTGAATTTTTGTATTAGTGGAAGTTGTGATTAAGGGGCAGATGCTCATGAAGCAGTATTCTTTACACATTTATCTGTATCAGTGTGTTCTTCAGAAGCATCACTTTCATTGCTTTTTTTCATAAATGTGCACATTTCATTTGAAATGATACAGTATTTAAAAACACATTTTAGTTATGTACATACATGTTGTAAACTTGTATTTCCAATACTCATTACATGGAATAATTTATGTCCTTAGGTAATGATTGGAGAGCTTCCAGAAGACTTTCTTCGGATTTCTGTGTCAAACCAGCAGCAACTCGCTGCTGATGAGCAAGCTGCAATAGCCTTACAGCAGCAGTACTGTAGTGGAGGATTTGCTCCTTCTAACGTGACAGGAAGGTTGAGCATCACGGTGATTGAGGTAAAAATTTAATACATCTTCAACATTAAAATAATATATTTAGTAACAGCTGCTGCTGGATCTGCTCTTGTCTTATTATAATTAATAGTAATAGAAAAGTTATGTACATTCTTGTAAGGTTAATGGCATTCTAAACAGGTATTAGAACAAAAATAGAGATATACAAAGATGTCTTAGAAAAATAGTAGTAAATAATGGTGATGTTTTCAAATATGGTGGTGCAGAACTTTTGTATTGACATTTATTAGTGTTTACATAAAAACAATATATTTAATGGAATAAGTCTGTTTCTGCTTTTAGTATGACATAAAAAAAGCTCCTTAACATGTTTATTACACCAGTTACTTTTTCCATGCCCCTGTCAAATTTGATTAGACCATGAATTAGCAATTGAAGTAATTTCTAGTCAATTTTTTTTTTATTGTAAATTAGATGTTCTTGATGAAGACTTACTTAGAAAATTTCCTCACCTCAATCCATTACTTTGATTTGATGTTTCATAATGTAATTTTTTCTCCCCATAATTTTGGTTTAAGTTGTAGGTATATTGTATAATTAGTTTCTCATTAATAAGCTTTTATGACTGTGATTGACTGACCCAACTCACTATTATTCTATTGGTTTTATTGCCTAATCTTCATGGCTTATACCAGAGATTGTGCTATCTGATAAAGAATATTTTAGTATTTAACACAATTATATGTTCAACTCTAATTAATACCCTCATGATTGCTATTTAGGCTAAGTTAAACAAGAACTATGGGGTGACAAGAATGGATCCTTATGTCAGACTTCGTGTAGGACACACTATATATGAAACACCAACTGATTATAATGGAGCAAAAAATCCTCATTGGAATAAAGTCTTTCATTGGTAAGTTATAAAGTGTGTATTTTTAACTTTAAAATTTTTCTGCATAATTTTCATTCATAATGTAAAGGGTTATAGTTTAAAAGGTAAAATTTGAAAAAGCTTCTAAGTTTGTTAAGTCAATATATAATTTATTGAATACTTAAGCCTGAAAACACTAGTTATATTGATACTGTTACCCTCTGTTCACAGGCTTTTGAAAATTGATCTGTGAAGGTATACATAATAATCTTCAAGTATCTTCACAAGATTTGGCAAGCTTTTGATAAACATTACAAATCTGTTCTACAGGAAAAATCATAATATGAAATAGCTCATAGGTAAGCGACCACATCTGGAAGACTCTGAAAAGCAAGCTCCACCCCATTGTGCACCTTTACCTCGTTTTCTCATCATGCATTCTTTGTCCAACAAACCTTTAGGGCAAATGTCTCCCTTTTTTATTCAGAAGGGATTAGAGGGGCTTGCTGGCTCTCCAAAGTTAGTTAACCCGATTACTACCGGCTACTAACTTTCTGCTTAGCCAATGCAAGTCTTGCTATATTTTGTTTCAACAATAAAACTAGTGGATGAAATTGTTTGAAACTTCATAAGAACTTTCATAAATACAAGTAGTTTGAGAAACATAAGGCCTGTTACTTTGATAAATTTAGTTTTTTTGCATTATGATCTTTAATATCTTGGAAAATTACATTAGGAAGTGGTATTTATAAGAAATTATTACAATATTTGTATTTGTTCTTACTTTTTATGTTTCAGTACAATATTTTAAAATGTCTAAAAACTTTTTATTGTCCATAAAATGCAAATTTTGTTTATTTTTAATTTTTTAATAATCACGTACTCTCCTTATGGTTTCAAGTAATATACAAGACCCGAAAATATTTCTAAGTTAACCTAAACAATAAACAAGTATTTTTTATTTTTAACTAGGATTTCATGTTTATATATGTACATAAAAAACATTTTCATTTTGTTTCATAAATGTATTTTTATTTGAAGTTTATGTTTCATTGCAGCTGTTCTTTTGTTTATTGCACAGAAAAAGCGTGAGGTTAGCAGCATGAAATTCATACATTTGCTGTAAACTATTACTTGTTTCCTGAAGCTTGGCACCAGGCTATTGTCCCAGCTTTCTCTAAGCCAGGGAAAGATTCCAAGGTTCCTTCTAATTATTGTTCAATCACTTTTGACTAGCTGTCTCTGTAAGGTCTTAGAGAGGATGGTTAATACTTGTCTTGTTTGGTTCCTTGATTCAAACAGTTTCTTCTCACCCACCCTGTGTGGGTTCTGTCAACAGCACTTCACTGTGGACCACCTGATTTGACTTATCCTCAACCAGGGAAGTCTTCCTCAAAAGAGAACATCTTGACTCTGTGTTCTTTGACCTTGAGAAGGTTTACAACACTACGTGGGAGGTACGAGATTTTGTGGGACCTCCACTTCATATGGATTGCATGGCCACTTACCCATTTTTTATTCAGAACTTTTTACTGGACAGGTGATGTTGTTCTACCTGTGGTTCATGAGGCAAATTTCTTGGGGTTTATCTTTGACCATAAGCTTACTTTCATTCCTCACATAATGCAACTACATATCAAGTGTACAAAGGCACTGAACATTCTCCATGTCCTCTCTTCCACCTCTTGGGAGGTGGATCAGTGTTCTATGCTCAAGATCTATCGTGCCCGCATTCAATCCAAACTGGACTATGGGTCTGTGGTTCTGCCCGTTCACCATCTGGGGCTTTAGCTCTGCACAAGTTCTTTCCGCACTTCTCCACTCCAGAGTTTGTACACAGAGTCCCATGAACCTCCTTTTCACCCTTGCCATTTGCAACTGTCCCTATGTTATGCTACCAAGCTTCAGTCTTTACCACAACATCCCACCTGGGGTTCTGTCTTTCTTCCTTGGTAAGCAATGCTCTTTCAGAATAGACGGTCTGTGCATTTCCTTTTTTGGCCTTCATATCCAGGCATAACCAGATGAATTGGGTCTGGCATTAGATGACATTACTGTCCCCAATGATCAGCCTATTCCACCATGGCTTATTACCATCCCCAGATGTCACCTTTCATTGAGTTATTTGAGGAAGGCGGGTACTTCCGATTGGAAGTATTGTCTTCTCTATACTGAACATCCTTCTGTTCCCATTTACACGGATAGTTCAAAATCAAGTGACTCTGTAAGCTCTGCCATGGTTTGCTGTGGCTCAGTAGTTGCTTGCAGGATCCCCTCTACTGTTTCTGTGTTCACTGCCAAGTTGTATGCCATTTCTCTTGCCCTGAATCATTTAAAGGCTATGCAGTACACTGATTGTACTATTTACACTGACTCTTATAGCTTTCAACTGGCCCTGGAATTGCTTAACGTTAGTTCTCATCAATATTCAATAACGGCTGGCTCGTTTTTTCTATCTTCCATTAGTATCCAGTTTTTCTGGATACTTGGCCATGTCGGTATTTGCAGGAACAAGCTCACTGACACCACAGCTAAGTCTGCTCTGGTGCCATCACAGCTGTGCCTATCCCATATATGGATTATGGTTCTGTATTGAAGGCTCGGATTCGTTCCAGTTAGCAGTCAACTTGGAGTGAGCAACGTCATAACAACCTTTTCTAGATCAAACATTCCGTTGTTCTTTGGCCTTCTTGTTTCCATAAGGATCGGAAGGAGGAAGTTGTCCTCACTAGGCTATGCATTGGCCACAGTTTTTTAACTCATCATTTTCTTTTATCTGGGACTGATCCACCAATGTGTAGCTTTTGTGACACATAAGTCACAATAGGCCACATTTTACTGTCGTCCCGTCATTATGACTTTGGCCGACGGCACCATTTTAGACATGTTTTCTAAGGGTTTAGCTCTGACATTGGATGGTGACACTGTTCAACTTGATTGTATTTTTAAATTTTTACGAGCTATTGCCCTTTTTAATTCTGTTTAAATCTTTTATCTGAATTTTAGACATTGTTTAGTTTTAACTTTATCTATTTGTATAAAAATTTTACATATAATTTTTTTCCAGTTGTTTGGTGCAGACAGCCTAGTTGCTTTGCACCAAAAAACACCAACCAACCAACTCAGGGTCAATGATGTCTGCTGGGGAAGTACAGGCTTTAGTTCATGGGGAGTTCATGTCTTATGTTTGGCCTACGATTTCTTCCTTTCACATTACGATTTTTTTTAGGAAGAATATAACTACTTTGTAGAAATTTCTTTCTATGGCTCTTTTCATCTCTTGATGTGACTCCATGTAATCTGCTGGATTAGGTATTGTTGTTTTTCCCATGACCATTCAGTCACTCACACCTGCTTACTTCTTCGACAAGTTGCTCAGGTGGGGTTTCTCATAAAGTTGAAGAAGTCCTTTACTACCCTCATATAGTATTTTATTCATTTGGGAGTTCTCTTCAATTCCAATCTCAGTCAGGCCCAGTCTTCTTCACTTCAGCTCCAGGATATATAGAGCAAGCAATCATGATGGCCCTACTTTCTCCTTCTGTCTCTCTTGGGAATGTGGGCTTCCTTGGAAGTTCTCATTCCCTTCATTGGATGCTTCTTGATCAATGGAACTTATCCTACAATCCTTTGGACTATCCCATCACCCTTCCACCTTTGATCAGTACCAATCTTGCTTTGTGACTCGACATGGATTTGACTATGGTGGGGGTTCCCATTCCTCCACCTCATCCTAAGTCTTATCTGTTCAAAGATGCTTTTTTGGTAGGTTGAGGGGCTTTCCTCAATTCCAAAAGTTTTATGGGTTGGTGGTCAGTCGAGGAGGTTATTCTCCATATCAACATCCTGGAACCTTTGGCAATTCATCACGCTCTGTATAATTTCCTTCTGCTCCTGCAGGGGCGGGTGGTTAGGGTTCATTCTGACAATTCCACTGTCATTACCAAGCAAGGGGGAACCAAGTCCAGATATCTGTGTTTTCAGAATCTGGATCCCTTGTATTAGGCCTATGACCACAACATGATGGTTCTGACATGTCATGTTCCCGGAATTATGAATCTTGTGGCCAGTTGCTTATCTCATCCCAACGAGGTTCTCCCCATGGAATGATCCCTTCATTCTTAGCTATTTCTGTGGGTGTGTTCTAAACTAGGAACACTGCATGTATATGCATTTTCCATTCACTGGAATGCCACACTTCCTTCCTTTTGGTCTCCAGTTTCTCGCCCCTCAGCTTTTGGGGTGAACGCTTTTAGTTGGGATTGAAGGGGTCTTCACCTATATGCCTATCCTTTGATCAGACTCCTCTCCAGAGTCAGTACCCTTACCCAGACCACTGCTGGTTGCTTGGTATTGGCTGGCTCAGAAGTGGTTCCCTCTGCTGTAGCCCTTACTGGAGCAACAGCCCCTGCCCTTCCTTCTGTCCTGATCGCTCCTCCAACAACTGCAATAGGATGTATTTCACCCCAACATCACCAAACTCCATCTTCACACATCATTTACCATTCCTCGTATGTTATCCTTTGTCCAGATCGGGCCTTCCTTCCTAGAACATCAGCTGCCTGGGAAGGTTGTTTAGCCTTTTTTCCTATTTCCCTACCTTCCATTTCCCACCTGTACTCCCATTTGGACCCGGGTCGACTACTTTGTCCAGTTTGTTCTCTGCTTTGTTATATGGGTCGTATTGCCTCCTTTTGTGATTCTCGTTCCATGTTATTCCTCTGTTTCTCACAATCTATCACCAATTATGCTCACTGGTTAGGTTTGTCAACTCGTACAACTGGCATATTCTGATGTGTGCATGGTAGGTCACCATCTATATAATGTTTCTTCGCACAAAATTTGTCATCTAACTATGTCTTTAGCTGCTCGAAACTGACCTCCTTTGCAGGAGATTATTCAGGCTGGTATGTGGACAATTCTCAGAACATTTGTTGCACTTTATCTGCACAACTTAGCTGTGCCTTCCTTTGGCAGGTATCATCTTCTTCCTGTTTGCCTTTGATGGTTAAATTGACTTATTATTATTTTTTATCTTATTTCATTGATATACATTGTGTTCCAGGATTCCACCTGATGGCAGGTGTTGCTTGGTCAGGTATACTTATCATATTAGCACTAAATATGTATATTCCTGTAATGCTCAATGTTGAGATGGGATGTTTCTGTAAAACCACCAGCCGCTTATCTGGTGGTGTGTGTATATAGATATTTTATCACTGTTTCATATATAAAGGACTGTCACTCATTGACTTTGTGAATAAAGCAGATGGGGATTTTTGCCCATCCCTACTGACCCATGATTCTTACAATCGGGGTGTTTCTACTTTTCAAAATAGGGAATCTCAGACACCCACTGCACTGTTTCCAGTGTGTTGTTCCTCCGAACTGTCCAATGGGTCCTCTCCCCTTTCTTCTAGTGGAGCATGAGAGTCCTCGCCACTTCCGGTTCCCAGTTGCTGGAGTGGTGGACCATGGAAGTTTCCTCCTGAGTAGAGTTTGTAGAATCAACTAAATCAAATTTCATAGCTCGTAATTACCCACTCAGTGAGAAGAGGGCTATTGTCATTATACTTACTGATTATGTGATAACATAATATTCTGGATCCAAGACACATTCCTAGGATGTTTGTTCAGGTTAACCACACATGTTGATCACAAAATAAATTTCTCATGCAAGTCGCTTCCACAGGATCCTTTATGCCCAGATTGACTGCATTTGGCATAATCCAACAGATCCCAAGGTGCTTCCACTGATGTTTTGCCCGGGCAGACCAGGATTGAGATGGCTTTGGGTGAACTGTACCAAAATCATTAATGCACAGTGAAATAAAAAGTTGAAAATTATAAAATTAAATGAATAGTACAGTTTATTTCCTCTGCACTGACTGCAGTATTGATCAGAAAGATCTGAATTATTTATATCAACAGCTTCAAGTTTTAACATTTTCACATCTTCTTTCTTTTAATTTTATGGTTTTATTTCCATACTGTGTATAGCTAAATCAGTAATCAAAGCCTTAAAATTGCTAAAAACCCAAGAACCTCAAGGGATCTTTGCCTGTTGGTCCCCCCTACCAGGGTAATGCTTTAAATGCACAAGAGTCCTTAATCCTCAGCCTGTTTTAATTCTTATTAATAATGCTGTTGCACTACAAGAATTAAGAAAATAGTTTTCCCTGAATTTCACATAAATGGTAAGCTAAATAATTCCACATAATTGTAATTTCAGTAAGAATTCAAAAATAAGTGTACATGTAAAACATACACCGTTAGATCTAGTAAACTAGAATCTGTCCATTGCCCAAGAAATTTTGTTTTTTTTTCAGTATAGTTGAATGTAGAAATGTAGTTAGATAAAATTTACTGTTCTCTGTATAATAAACATACTTAGGTGTCTGTATCTTCTATAAAGTATTTACCATTGTTCATGTGTATGCAATATTAAATCCATTGGTTAATTACCTTCTACATTAAGCATCTGGAAATCATTTTATTACATAAAATTAAATGCTTAAAGTAGACAATTCTACTGTAGTTACTAACATCATTATTGTGGCAAAAATATTTTATTTTTATTTTTCTGTGAAATACAGCACTCATAGCCCCATTAAGAGTAAAGTTGAAAAACTTTGAACAAAATTGCACTAATTTGAACCTAATAACTTCAGTAAAAGTGCAATTTTATTGGTTTTAACCAATCACTTTTTTCTCAACCTTGGTTTTTAATGGTGTGATGTAGTTGCATACATCTCAGCTTTGAAAGCCATAGGCTAGTGATCTTAGCATGTAAAGCAAATTTTTTGTTTTGTTTTTTTCTTCTTTTCATTTGTATGGGCAAATATGGTTTCCAGTTCAGTGGAGGCTTACATAAGGTTTGAAATAAAGTGAAAAGATTATTGTGGTTCAATGATATGTAACTAGTTTATACTTCAATTTAATTATGATGTTGCAGCATGATGGGAAAATAAATGTTTTTCTTGGATCAAGATGATGAAGGCATAATAAATTTGACCATATTAGGTATCATTTTGCCAACAAGGCTGCTGTTTGGCAGGCCATATTTACATTAGGCTTTATCGTACTAAGTAACTGCTTGAATGAGCAACGAAATGTAAAAATGTATGAATTAATATGAAACAGATTTAAAACTCATTACACACATGAAATGAAACCTCCTGATTAAGAAATAAAAAAACCTTGATTATTATTTTGGTGTGGTAAAAAAATTCTTGTCTACCAATGACACATTGAAACAACCTGCAATGTGTTTTTCAATCAAAACTAAAATAAGATATATAGTTTTACAAAATAGAAACTTTATAGCAATGTATTACAGTAACATAGGGAGACATAAAAATCAGTAATTGAAATCTACAACAAAGGTAATAATTTTTATTTTCCTTAAAAACCTATAATAATGGAATTTTTTCAGAATTTCAAAGCTCCAAAATTCATGTAAATATCACATAGAAAAATAAGCTATTTTAATTGCGAAAGCTATATAATGTGTTGAAATAACATTTCAAGTTTCAAACTATTTCATCCAGTAGTTTTTTTGTAATATAATAAAATCAACCATAAAACAAGTGCATCAAGTCAGTGCACCCTAGAATTTTAGAGTTAAGTGTAATAAAAAATGTTTATCACAATATATCTTAAAATCACATTTGCTCAAAATATACTCTTCTTATTGAAAGTTTTTTTTAATCTTGCATACTAATAAGGTTTTATCATGCTATTGACAAATTCCATTATGTATTTGAGCTGTAGTGTTTGTTGTGTTTTAAAATAAAAAACTCTGAATTGTTTATCCATCAGCTATCTACCAACAGGAGTAACTTCCATAAATGTTGAAGTTTTTGATGAAGTAAGTATTTTTGTATATTTTTTCACAGTTCAGACGAAACAGTTGTCATTTTGCAGTCAATTATTCATTTTGGCAAAAACAAAGTACTTTATGTTCACAATTGTGGCAAATGGAAAAACATAACGATAAAAAAAAATATAGCAGAGATTAAACATTCACACATTGTACATCTGCATCTTAATTTTTTATAAGCAGCCATAGGCTGCTTTAACAGTAATGCCATGTCAAACAAATTAAGAAAGACAGGCAATAATAAAGTTAGTGTGTGAGAATTCACTATTGTATATTAAATAGTACAGTGCTTAAAACACTTTAAAACAAAATTTTGAGGTATAATGATTCAAATTCAACATTGTTCATTTCCACCAATCATGACAACATTTGTTTTATATTTGGATATTTGTTGTTGTTTTTTTTGTAGGTAAACTTGTATTTACAAAATATTGTTATTAAACTATTTCAGCAGTACATTTTATGTCATTAAGTGACATATTTATAGTCCTTTATTTTTGTAGATATATTATTGAGTGTTATTAAATATATGAAAAGTTATTATAATTATTGTGCAACTAGTTACAACATTGGCACTATATACAGCAACTACATATAAGCACAACACACACAATATGTTAATTCAAATTTTTACTTTGTTCTGCCCACACCTTGTGACTATAAAACACTCCTACACAGCATACATGATACTTGTATCTTTCCTTATGGGAGGAAGAAAGGCAAACCTCTTTATCTAGACAACTTAATGTACCATGATCAATAATAGTATTTTAGTTTTTGATTTTAAAAACTGTTGTATGTGGTACACTACTTTTGTTTACTAAACTCAATGATTTCAGTACTACATATTTGAAGTATCAAATGTATACAAAGATTGAAGCACAGTAGTACAATTTAATATATTTGTATTCTGTTTTTTAAGAAAATATAAACATAAGAAACTAAATTTTTACTGTTCAACATTGGAAACATTTTCAAAAACAATATTAATCATCGTCTGAAAATAAAAGTTAAAAAATATTTCAATCCAAAATCAGTGTAAAAATTATTACAGTGTAATCTGCTTATTTAATAATCTGTGTCCTTCTACTTTGAACGTAGTGGAAAAGAAACTGAAAAGATGAGTTTTTTATGTTCAGCTCAGTAGGTTTCTTTGTAATGTAATGAATATAAGAACTTTTAGGACTATCTTAGTTCATAATATTAATGTTTAATTTTCATAAAGTACTTTTGATATATAATTTCATAAGAAAATTAAGTTTTGAAGTTATTTGTTATTGTGATTATTATTCTGAAATATTATGTTAATGATCTAAAAACAATACAGCATGCACTGTTTTTGTTATTATTAGAGAAGTGAGTGATTATTTAGAAAGTGGATTAACTGTTTATTGCATTACATATGTAAGTTGTTTTTAAAATAATTCATTGTGAAGTTTATGCATACAATACAGAATAATTATGTAAGCACCAAACAAGAGAAAGCTAAACCAGTGATCTGTTGTTCTCTTTTCTTAGCTTTACATGATATGGTACTTAAATGTTCCCCTCTCTTTATGGATATTCTTGTCATTTGAGTTATGAAACCTGAAAAAAGAGAGAAAAAGATTACCACATTTACTTCAAAAGTTCAAAATTTTGTTTTAAAGTTAAATATAATCACCAGAAGTATTATTAGCACTTAAAAAAAATCCGATAAATTCTGTCAAACTCTTTAAATAGTTGTGGAAGAATAGTTACTATTTCTCTTTGTTGATTTCTCGAAGTCTCCACTTTTAGCAGAGATTTGGACATATGTGTATATAATTGTTGTTAGTTTATATGTATCTTTTTTGTGCTTTTTATGTCATGCTTCAAGTACATGTATAGATGTTAATTATTTTGAACCTTCAACAATTTGGAAATATTTAGTGTTGATTTTTTATTTCTTTAAAAAGTGTGCTTTCACCTTGGATGAGAAAGTTGCTTGGGGTCACATAAATATTCCTGAAGTAGTCTTCAGTGGAGAAACTGTAGAAGACTGGTTTCCTCTGAGTGGTCGACAAGGAGAACAGAAAGAGGGTTTTATTAATCTTGCATTTTCACATACAGTAAGATTTTTTTTAGCACTAATAAATTACATTTCATAATTTTTTGAGATAAAAGTTTTGCATTTTTTCTATTAGTTAGGTTTTAAAGCTTATTGAGAAAGGAAGTTTCGTCTTTTAACTAACTGGAATATTCATCTGTTGTCTTTTTAAATAAAAAAGTTCCAAAAATTAAGAAGGGGTTATTGATTCAAAGTTAATTGTTCAACAGTTTTTAAACTAAATAATCCTTTAATTATTTTATTGAAAACAAAATACCTTCTGTTCACAATTGTGGCTAGTGTAAAAGATAATGATGAAAAATGTAGCAGATGTAGTTAGATCATTATGCTAGCATTTGTTAACATAAACTTTTAGTTTTTCTTCTAAAAGTGCTTAGGTTTTTTTAATTGCAAGTATGGTTAAATTCACATTTAACTAATTTTAAAGTACATTGCATGTTTAATGTTTCCAACTCATTTTGAATGTATTAATGCAAAAAACAAATTGTGATTCTAAGTTTTTAATGCAAACGCTACTTTCTTTTCACTTGTTTAAAGTTTGCTTACAGTTATTTTGCTGCTTATTGAAAAGTAATTGAACTACTTAAACATGGGTTTATACTTAAAGTGAGAAAAGTTGTACCCATTAGTATAACTGTTAAATTAAAAATGCAGTGATATGTATGAAACAATAGTAAATAACACACAAAAGAAGACATGAAAGTTATGTCCAGCATAATCATTAAACGCTGTTTAATGATTATGCTGGACGTAACTTTCATGTTTTCTTTTGTGTATTATTTATTATTGTTTCATATAGACACATAGCATGGGCATTACTTGTGTACCAACATTAAACTATGTGTCTATATGAAACAATAATAAATAATACACAAAAGAAAACATGAAAGTTACGTCCAGCATAATCATTAAACAGCACATGGGCATTACTTGTGTATCAACATCAAACTATGTGTCTTCCATGTGTTACCCATGTTAAAAAATTAAACTTTCCATCCATATTAATTTTGTACAAACATATAAATGAATTTTGAACTAATAATCAGCATGCTCAAACTAGAATTCATGTTCAGTTCAAACTTTTATTATAATATTTATCATATGTTTTTGAAATATAAAGTTTATTGCTTTTTTTCAGACAGTAATTTTTTTGTCTGTGTAAAAACTTCTTTGGCATCATATTCAGAAGCTAGCTTAATTCTTCATCAATAATGAAATTCACTCACCTTAGAAATTTATTTACCTTTTGCCTCTCTACGTAATCTTACATGTAAGTGCCATTGAATATACACAGAAAAATGTAAACTGACAGTTGGATCTCTATATTATTTATTATTAAAGATTTATTAGTAGTATATCCGATGATTTAATAATTCTGAGAAATTGTCTTGTGTCAATTTTTTTTTACTAAAAAATAAAAGAACAGTTATTTTCCAGTTTTTTTTTAGCTTTGCTAACTTTTATGACAAAAAAAACTATTTTTCAAGACTCTTCCAGCTGGCCCAGTTCCATATCAACCTGTTGTAGTTGTTCCGACACCTTATTATCCTTCAGTGATGCCATATTTCCCTGCTGGACCAGGCAAGTACTATAATTTGATACATATATCTATAATAGGATCATTATAATATTATCATGTTGTATTAAGTATGTATCAGTGTATCTTTCAGCACTTGCTCAGCAAGGAAAATACTGTACTTTAGATTTTTGAAATGTATTTTCTATGGTGTCTTACACTGGTTGAACATATTAATGATTTCAGTTAACATAATTATGTAAATAGATGATTATGACAATCAAACTGATAAAAGTAGGGCCTGTGATTGTGATAGAGATTTGGATTTGAAAGCTGGTGAGCTGGGTTCAAATCCATGTAATATCATAAAATGTTTCCTGTACTTTAAGCTGTGAGTTCATTTTAATGTGAAAGTCAATTTATTAGTGTGAGTAATATGTCGCTACTGATTAGCTACTTCTGGTAAGTAGATCAAAACTAGGGATAGTGGCAGAGATAGTATTAGTAGCTTTGTTGTAAATATAGAATACAAATATAATGCTTCTGACTGTATTATTGGTGAAATTTTAATGTGTATTCAGAAGTGAATAAATTTTCATACTTAGTTCTAGCATTCCAGTTTCTCAACAATTTTAAGTGTTACTTCTTAACTCTTTTTTTTTGTTTACACTTAATAATAATTTAGATTCAGAAAATACTTGAATTACTGCAGTGGTAATACGATATATAAGTTGTTTTTGTTTTAAACAACTATTTAACATGTATATTAATCATTCCATACACATGTAAATAACATGCAAAGTATTGAAGAATTGGCATGTATATAGTTTTGATAAAGGTTATTTTAACTAGTTCTGCTTTATATACCTTTAGCAATGGCTGTGCCACAATATCAACAGATGTATCAGCAGGAGACAGTACCTACTTGTCAGACAAGACAACCTGTACAGATAACAGATGAAGATGTTAAACAGGTATTTTTCTTTCTATTTTTTACAGATTTCTATACATGAAAAAATTTTAGAAACATAATAGTTTACATAAAACTGTTAATATATTTTTTTATAAATTAAAGACAATTATTCTTCAGTAAAAATTGAAATGATTAGATTCTCTTAATTGTATTTTGCATTTCAAAATGTTATAAAAAGAGTTGATCTTTAAATGTTAGTTTCTATATAATTCTAAAAATATTAGTGGGTTTCTTTTAATCATATGAGGCCAAAACCAAATTCTACCAAAGCATAATAACCTTTTCTCTTACAAAAAAAGGATCATTTAAACTGTAAGAAATGTGTAGAAGAACAATAAGACTTTTTCAACCTTAGTCAAAAACAGCTCAGTGTATTATCCCCACTTACCTACAAACTCTCTAAATATTACAGCAACAAAAAAATAAACATTTTGAAAAGCTGAACTTGAATTATTAATTAATATATATCAGTAGAATGGTGATATTAGGCTAATGTTTTTGTTTTCACACAAAAATACAATATTTTTTAATAGAAATGGTGACACCACTTTGAACCAAAAAAACACAAGTATTGGTGTCATGGTTATTTCTCTTTACTGAAAATTATATTTTTTCTTAAATATGCAAGAAGACATGTAACTAGAACTAATTGAAGTGAACATACAATAAAGAAAAACTACTGGAACAGAGTTTTATGAAAAATTTGTGGTCAAATCTGGAGAAACATTTTCTAAAGTCTAATTCCTCCCTTCCTTTTTTATCAACTCAAACAGGAAATATTTGTATATGCATTAATAAATAGTACAATGAAACTACCTTTATTTTATCCTAAGTAGCTTTAAACTCATAACAGTACACATCTATTTATACTTAAATTTTATTGTTTTATTGCCCTTTGAACCATGTCTAACTACTAGTACTATTTGCAACATTATAAAATATCACTTTGGAAATGTGCAGCTAACATTATGCTATCAGTTTACATTACATTACAGCTACTTCAAGCTGCTTGGGTATGGTATGTGCCTCGTGAAAATTGTTATTACATTATTATTATTTATTTTACCTAATTGGGTGATATAAATAATTCTATACCATAAAACTACATATCTTTCTTTTTTTTCTCTTTTTTATAGTAAAAACACATTAGTTTCTCTTATTAGCCAGAAATTCGTATTGATATACACATAAGAGTTCATTATAGAACAAGTATAACGACATAGGAGTGCTTGGGTATTCATACATAGATGCATTTGTACTGCATATAATTACCTTCTATTCCTTAGGTCCAGGAAATGTTTCCAAACATGGACAAAGAAGTTATCAAAACTGTACTGGAGAGTAACCAAGGTAACAAGGATGCTGCCATCAATGCCCTTCTTACCATGAGTAGTGAAAGTTGAGATATTTTTCTGAAAGTTGTGAAGTTCAAGTATATGGAAATTATTTATAAAGAGCCTAAAAGCTGAAAATAATTGATTTTTGTGGGTTTTTGTTTTTTATTTTCATCTAAAGCATCATATGATTAAATCATATTTGTTTATAAATAGTTTGTCTGCATAAAAGAAGTCTGCCCCATTTGTTCATGTTTTTCTTCGTTGAAAAAGGTAAAGTCTTTTGTGTGTAAACTTGTATAGAAGTGAAAAACCCCTTAAAACGTATTTCGAAAAAGATCTATTCTAATAGAAATTTACTGAAAAAACAAACTATTGGATTTCAGGTTTTAATGGACTGCATATTTCTGAAGTATAGGAGTGGACAACACTTGTCTCTTTATTGAGATCTTTATCACACTGAGCAAATCAGTCCACTCCTACACTGGTCAGTTGCATTCCATATAAAAATTTCAAATTAAGTAGTCTACTCTCCCTAATATTCTTCTAAAACATTTGAAGAAAGTGTATAAAGTTATTTTTGAGGTAGGATATATTAAGTAATAGAAAAACCATATACCAATCACTCAAATTAATCAAATGTAGGAATTACTTAAGACTAGTGATTATGAAACTTTTTAGAGTAGATGCATTTCCATATGTATTGATGTAAAGTGTACCTAACATGTTATTTTTTAGTATGAATGCTTTATAAAGTTTTACATGTATTTTTCAAAGGTTAACATTTGTAACAGTTGCAGCTTATTTTGGACTTCAAAGTTATTTTATTAGTTTTTGTAAGTTGTGTGGAGGAAGACTGTAGTTAAGTTCACAATTTTTTAGCAAGAATAGTTATGTAAGTAGCTAGTAAGTATATTTTCAATTATCAGTCGGATTTGGTATTCCTGCTGCTACTAAAAAATTGTTTTATTTTTGATCATATACTGATAATTAAATTTTCTGTAATATTTGGAATATTTTAACTGCATAGCAAACTGCATTTACTAAAGGACTACTTGACTTAAGAATAAATTAATTGTTACCGTTGAAATGTACCTTGTGTACTTGGAGATGTTTTTGTTTTAATAGATTATTTGTATTGTGAATATCATTTTAAGAACTACAAACAAAATATGAAATGCTATTGAAACTTGTATCGGCATCAAAGTATATTCAGATGTTAATGTCGTAAGTGCAATTAAGATTCAATGGTCTGAAAGTAGTCTGATTTTATCAGTTACAGTAACTTAAAATAAAAAATGTAGTAGAACTGGTATACAAGGTCAAATTTAAAACAGAATAGTTTGTGTCTTGCATATATGTAGATGTGTGTAAAACATTGCAACTGAAGGTTAAGTACTGTTCAAACAGTTAGTTTATTATATATCATCTACAGATAATGATATAAATATCTTCTCTTTTTATCTTACATTGATACATGTAATATAATACCATGTGACTTTTGTGGAAGTCACACAAATTCCAAAGAGAAATCAGACTGCTTAGTTTGAAGATTATTATAGTTCCTCCAAATGTGGAAAAGCATTTGTTACAATTTTGCTTTTGCTAATGGCATGTACCTCCCTATATATATATATTACTTTCTGTATTAAGAATGACTTTGTAACTGATAATATTAAACAGAACATGAAACTTAAATAGATAGGAAAATACATACAAAAAATTAAATGTCACATGTTTGTTTCTGTTTTGAAAATGTTGAAGGAATGGATCACGGTATAATGCTACACTAGTCACAGCGTATGTAGAAAATTAGTTCTAAGGTTGATATCTATTGATGTTTGTAAATGATTGGCTGATATATTGGTGTATGTGATATCATCTGTATGTGTACTAGAATGATGTCACTTGATTGTTCTCATTCAATAAAAACTGCTTATGGTATCTGTAGCATGGTCACAATGAATAATAATAATAATATAGTAATAAGAGTTTCCTTAACTAAAATATAATTTCAATAGACTGTATAAACAAACATCAACATAAGTAGTATTTTTTCTATTAAAAACACCTCGAAGTAGATAACATCAAACTTAAACTTTTAAGTATATATATATACACCTGGAAAAAAGTTAAGCACCCCCAAATATTTTTCAGGATTGCTTATTGAAAA